GATGGATGGATGGATGGATGGATGGATGGATGGATGGATGGATGGATGATGGATGGTTTTGTGCGGTTGTCGCTACATAACTAAACAGCTGCAAGGTGCAACGTGATCAATAATGTCGTTAATCTCACCTTAATTCCCTTCAGTCTTGAGGACAAACAGTTCTCATTGTAAATAAACTGACTTGAATGAAGACAGAACTACACGTTTTACTGACATTGTGAGAAACACGAAGACAGCTTGTAAAGCCACGACACTGACGTCTGGTGGTTTGTCACCTCCATGTTCGACGTTCACTCACCTTTCTGTGCATTAAGGCGTTGCTCACAGCAGAAGACAGAAGCTGTCTGTAGAACTCTACAACCTGCAGTCTGCACTGTTTCTAGAAAACATCATTCAGGGGAAGGAAACTACACTGAAGGAAAGAACAAAATGGCCGTCCTTCCCGTTCCTGATTTAATTCTGTTGTGACTCTCGTCGTGCACCAGCTGGCTGCGATTCAACTTTTGGTCATTGATGATAAAACAGAACTGACCCAGATATGCGGATCGGTCGGGGGAAGCTGAGGAGGACGTAGTCGCCCTGGACGGGTGTCAGTGCCCAGAAGAAGTCTTGTCCTCTGTAAAGCCGGTCCAGACTGTGCTGCTGGTAGTGCTTCATGCTGCTGCTCAGCTCTGCAGTTGGGTTTTCATGGGCCTGGTACAGAGTCTGCTTCTCAAAGTCCTTGTCCTGGAGGAGAAACAGACAGACAGCAGCTTCAGAAGAGCCACTGAAACCCGTTTTACTCCTCAGACAGATCAGGGAACATTGAGATGTTGTAGGAGAGGAACAGAAGCCAGACGTTCTAAACAACTGTCTGTTCAGATGTTTGTTTTCAGGAACAAATCACATCATCTGTAACCACCGCCTTCCACACAGTTCCCACATTGAATCGGTAAATCTCGATCTGGAGTTTAGCTGTATTCACTTTAAATAAAACTGTGGCTGTAGCACAAAGATTTACACTGAGAGGGATTCAAAGGTCATCAGCAGACAGTAAAAGCAAAGTAAAGCCTCCTTCACACACGCTGCGAACCATGCCCTCGTCACCATGACAACACTCCCGATTCTGGGTTATGGCGACATCATTTACAAAATGGCCTCAAGCAGCGTGTTCAAACACTGGACTCTTCATCACTCAGCCATCTGCTTTGCCACTAATGCTCCTTCCACACCCACCACTGCCACCTCTATGAAGTGGTGAGGTGGCCTCCGTTCAGACTCGGCAGCTTCACCACTGGTTTCATTTCATTTACCAGTCAGTTCTGGCCCAGACGCCTCCCTGCCGGTCCTCTCTTCTTCACGTCACCCAGAATCTTCAACATACTGGGTCCAGTGACTACATCAGGCTCATCATCCCAGTACTTCTACTATTTTCTCCTTTTGCTTTGCAGCAGCGAACAGCCGGAGCATCTTACAAAACACTCTCCAACTTGCAGCTCTGACTGCGCTCACCACCTTCAAGCTCAAAGTCCAACAGACTGTAGTCGACTGTTGGTCCTGCTGATCACGCCGGACTTTACTTACATACATACATATACATATATATATATACACACATACTGTCTTACACCTCACGCACATAGTTTCTCACTCACATGCTTCCTATGTTTAGTTTTGTTCTGTCGTGTTCATGTGTCTGTCTGTAATGTGTTTGTTCCTGCCGGCGCCTCTCGGCCAGCTCATGTTTGCAAATGAGAACTGGTTCTCAAACATTTTTACCTGGGTTAGGGTAAATAAAATAAAAAAGTGCCAAAGTTCAGTTAGAAGTCCTGTTTAATCAGACTGTTCAACCACTGGGTCCTTCAGGGAATCGGGCGGGTTCTTGTCAGCAACTCACCTTGAACCTGAACCAGATGTCAAACGAACAGCTTAAACCGCTGCTCATCCCTCTTGACAGGATTTCTGGCTTAAAAATCAGCTCTTAATGAACTTACCTCTAAAATAAAGGTTCAGTAAAACATTTACAAAGGGTAGTTTGTAGTGGTAGAATATGAGGGATATTTTTACTGCTATTGAGCCCAGTTCACCTCCACAACATCTGAGTCCTGCTGACCTCATGTCATAGCTGCCATCCCACCTGAGGGCCAGTCAGTACTCAACCAGCATTGCTGCCTTCCTGGTTTGACTGGTATCCTCACCATCCTGACCTCTGCAGCGACCGTCTCTTGACTCATGGCTCTTATTCTGATTCAGCGCAGGACCTTTTACGACAGTTACTCATGTCTCTGCTTGCAAATGTTTGACCCAAACGATTCCCCTCGTCCCTGTTCTGAACAGCAGATAATGACACGATGTTCTTCAGAACCGTCTGTGTGAAGTCAAGTCCAGAGAAGTGAAACTAACTTGATGTACCAGATGCAGTTTAACCCGTATCATAACATCAGAGCAGCGACTGGTTCTAACAGACCCAAAACAGCCCGTTTGATTCTAAGGATTTTCTTATTTTCTGATTGTTTTATTACTCATTATTTTACATCCGTTGCCTGTGTGAGGCTTAAAGCTGCTGCACCGCTTCAATGTCGTCATGTTCCTGTGGAGGATCCCTGCTTCACGCTCACCTTGAGAATCTGGAGTTTTCCGGGCAGAGAGGAGTGCAGGCCGACATGCTGGAAGAGGGAAGGCTTGTACCTCTGCTTGAGCAACGCCTTCTGTCCATTACAGTGTTTCTGGAGAAAGAACACACAAACCTCAGCTATTTACCGCTGAAGACCAGTTTACATACATCTTGGTTTTATCCTGCCCCTCTCAAAAGATTTTTATTTGGTTATTTTCCTGATTCTTCTTGACCAACGTGGCCTGAAGCAGCTGAGCGTTGTGTAGGAGGTCCCTTCACAACACGGAAATGGAACTTTAAATGGGCACAATTGTCCCGTTTAGCGACACCAAGTGACAACGGAAACGTATGTTTTTAAACTCAAAACCTGAAATCTCTCGTTTCTAAAAGCATTCAGAGCTGCTGTCACGGCCAGGTTCATTCTGATTGGCTGCAGCTGATCCGTTAAAGATCATCATACGGGCCCAGAGTGCTGGTCACCACAACATCTGACGCTCTTTGAGCTACAGACTCAAACAGCACAGACCAGCTGAGGAGAGACATTTTCAGTCCAGTCTGGCTGAGAGGATGCTGGAAGATGGCAGGAATGGACCAAACTGAGGCCTGCAAAGCCTGTATCGGCTTCAACAGGAAGAGTCCGAGCTGCAGCCAGAGAGGCTTCTGTCGGCCACTGAACCCACAGTCTGAACACCTCTGAAAAGGAGGGCGTCTAGTTTTAGGTTTCTGATAAATGTGCCAATGTTTCTAAACGAGTTTGTCTTCATGTGTTACTGAGTGAAGACTGATGGGACCAAAGCCTGGTTTATCCATCTAACCTAAAGGCGTCTGAATACTTTGAAGCGACTCATTTGCACCTTGTTAAGAGCTTTGGCTCAACTCCAGGTACAGCGGACTCACCTGGTCTTTCTCCGGGTTGCACACCTTCACCCACAGGATGTGGTCTAACAGCCAGTCGATGGGTTTGTCTCTGTGGAACATCAGGAAGAACTCAGCGATCATTGGGAGGTCACGGGTCCGAAACATCTTGCCTGGAGACACGAACGTGCACATGGACTTAGATTTGTTAAAAAACAAACGTTTCAATGAAGGGATTCATTACTTTAAAACACACCTATGAATCCCAGCTGGGAGAACTCCAGGTAGAGCCACGGCTTGGACTCCTCCCTGGTGGCGAAGGTCTTCATGTCGCTGTAGTAGCCTGCCTTTGCAACAACATCATCTTCTAACTGGAACACAGAAACAGAAACACACATTTTTACTATAAATTATAAAAAGCAAATCCTCCTCCTGCAGGTTTTCTGTTGGAAATGATTTTTTACTAATGTTCTCCAAAGAAACGAGGTTCTGTCTTGGAACTTGTCCACAAATTCAACATTTCTGAGAGAGAGCAGTATGTTTGATGCCAGCAATAGTGGGTTTAATAGAAATCTGCCGTTTCTCTATTACCCCCATTGTTCATGGTTCCAAGTGACAGAGCAGCTACCAGACGCTGGAGTTAGCAGGATGAGCCTCTTAGGTGCTGGTGTCGAGTAGCTATGCTCCAGGAAAAACATGGCTTGCATTTCCACAAAGACCAGTGTGAAAACACGGGACGTTATTGACCAGAAATAAAGCCTAACCCTGCTTTCACCGCTCGCCAACGTTTGTCCAACTTGTGTTGTGACTCTGATGATCACTCAGTTCAGCTCTCCAGGGGCCTCATGTACAAAGTGTGCGTTCGCACTTTTCCACGCTCATGTTCAGATGTATCAAGAGTGAAATGAACGTGGAAATGTGCGGTCCTCTACGCCAACTTCTTGACTGGCGTACGCATGTTTCTATTGCTTTGAGCCGTTGGTGACACCTAGAGGTGATGCTGGGAATATAAAAATGTACAAAACAATGTAAAAAAAGGTCATTCCTCAAAGTGATGTGCACATCAGAGACACTTAGATGAACAATGAACACATCCAGGTGTTTACAATCAGATGAGCGGATATAAAAGTTTATATAAAATGGTGCAGAAGACACCGTTAACAACAACGGCAGCTTTGGACCTGCTGGAGGATGTTACCAATGGAGCAGAGCCAAGAGAACGGGTTTCCAGAGACCTCAGGACCACGACTGGATAATCAGCGCTTTGCGTTCCTGAGGGCAATTCGCTGAGAACTGTGCGCGGAGCTGCAGCCATTATTGGAGCCCAACACGTCCAGGAGCCATGTCCTACCTGTGCCCATACAGGTGCTGACCCACTGGGCTTCCGAGCCACAGGGTCTCAGAGGGAGCTGGCCGACCGACCGGGACTGTGCCAGTCCACACTGAGCCGAGCCATGCCAGCTGTGTGGGATGGAACCATCCGAATGTCAGCCAGATACATCAAGCTCCCACAGTGCAGCTGAACAGGACGACATGAACGTGCAATTTGTAGCGACTGGGTCTCAGTCTCCTCCTGCCTCATGTTGGAAAATAATAAACTGAGTAATCTGACATGAGACAAAGTTTTGATTTCCTCTTTGACATCCTGGCATGATTACACATGAACCTGTATCGTGTTTGGCTGCGAGCAGATGATTGTATGAGCTGTGTAGTGAATAAATGTGTGAGTTACACCATATATATATAGTTATATATATATATGGTGTGACTATATATATATATATATATATATATATAGTGTGTGTATATATATATATATATATATATATATATATATATATATATATAGTGACCTCGGGGGGATCTGAGTGACCTACGTGTGCTCCCACCACCCCTGTGACAGCAGCATCACCCACAATCTGCTCTAACAGGATGAGTTCATCCTGGTTTCTGTTATCTGATCCTGCAGAGAGGGAATCCCACCTGTCGGCCTGTTTATACTAATTTGCATATTTAAATTGGGGGCGTGGAGGGGGAGGAGTCTGGTTCTCCAACATGTCAGTTCCACGCTGAGTGAGATGTACAAAGGAAATGTGCTGGATTCCGACGTACGCACACTTTCGTTCATCTGGATTTTTTTGTGCGTACGTAGTTTTCAGGATTGAAGTGTTCGCCAGGTTTCAGGATGAAATCCACGCAAGTCTTTGTACATGAGGCCCCAGGACTTTTCTGTCATCGGTTGTCAAAGAACTCCCCTGCAGCAGTTTGTTCTGTTTGCTTTTGTCTGTGAACGTGGAGGAAACTAGCGACTGTGGCACAGACAAGCTGCTGATCTGCAGCCTGAAGAGTGACGGTCGTCACTTTTTGTGCTCCTGCAGTGTTTCCTCATGAAGGTTCTATAATTTCATGAAAAAACTCACGCAGAGACAACCGAGTACAGTTGAGTTCTACAAACACGTTGATTTGCCATTCAGTATGTCTGTCAGTATGAAAGGAAAACGCTGACATCAGTGGCTGAGTTCTGGCCTCTACCTGAACATAATAGGTTCCTCTGTCCTGAGCGTAGAGCATCAGGAAGCTGAAGTCCAGGTTCTGCTTTGTTCGCCATCTAAAAACACACAAGTTGCACAAACATGAATGAAGTGCAGACGGATGGGTTTCTACCCCCTCATATTCCTTTTCTACTGTATGTACTTGTTTCCTGTCTTCTGTCCTAAATGAGCCAACAGCAGCAACGAGTTCGTTTACAGAACAAACCATGAAAGGGATTCGGCCTCGATGTGTCTTCACACAACTGACACGACATTTACAGAAAACAGCATGTGGGTTTGTGGCCGTACTTGACTCTGTCCTTGGAGTCACCGAAGGTCTCTGCGAGGCTGCTGAAGTCTGGGTAATAAAACTGCGACGGGGAGACGACCTCCAGCAGTCCGGACTGCACCTCCTTCAGGAAACTACAAACAAACAGCTGGTTACCTACAACCATCACAATACGCATCTCTAGCCATCCATCATCTCTACACCTTCAACCTCACTAGGGGGGCGGAGCCTATCCCAGCTGACTCAGGGTGAAGGCAGGTTCACCTGGACAGGTAACCAGTCTATCACAGGGCTACACTTAGAGACAGACAACCAAGCACACTCACATTCACACCTACGGACAATTTACAATCACCAATTAACCTCAGCATGTTTCTGGACTGTGGGAGGAAGCCGGAGAACCCGGAGAGAACCCACGCTGCACGGGGAGAACATGGAGACTCCACGCAGGAAGATCCCGGGTGTCCTCACCGGGACGCCAACCGGCGACCTTCTAGCTGTGAAGCGCTAACGGAGCTAACCACCGAGACACCTTGCAGGCCCGAATTAGTCATTCTATATCTTTAAAAAATCTTTTGTTCTCATTATTTTTCTGATTTAGCTCTACAATCCAATTACACGCCGTGATCTGCAGAAACCTGCAGCACAAATAAAACGTGAAGATGTCAGACCTCACAGCTCATAAACAGAGACAAGATGGAGTCTTTTTATGGCCAGACTTTTTGTGGTGATCCCAGTTTTGTGTTTTTGTGTAGAACTGGGTTTTGCTGTGTGTGCTTGAGGTTCCTGGTGGCTGTGATGGTGTTTCAGGCTGGGCGGGTTTCCAGAGGGGGAGCTCTCACTCACTCTCCTCCACACCTGATCTCCAGTCAGCGCTGGATAAAGCCCGCCTCCACCTATGCTCCAGCGCCACTGGATCATCCTCCTCCGAGTGCTACCAGGCCAGCAGTGCTTTGACAACTTCGTGCTTTCAGATACTTTGCCGTGTCTAATGTGTGTTTTCGTCTGCACTATTGCCAGAACCCCCCCGATGGATCGTGGCCTCCCCCCACTGAAATTCCTTTGAGGCAGCATTCTGGGAACAAACTCGCGCTGAATGCTGACAAAAACAAGACGGCTTCAGAAACGTCTTTCTGGTTTTAGTCTCTGTGGAGAATCCAGATTCCTAAAAGGTGAATCTGAACCTTAATGTTCTTTCACAGGTTCCTACAGCCGACTGTCCAGCAGGAATTAGTCCGGAACTGGAAGACGGCTGTTCTACCTCACAGCTGGAACCAACCAGGTCCAGATCAACACCAACTGGTACTAAGTTCTTTCTGTTCTTATGGTCCACCAAGGCTCATGACAGTCGGCTCTTTAGGTTGTGCAGACTGACGGACAGAATGACAAACAGCTCTGATCCTGTGGAGGACTGTGGACATGAAACCAGCTGTAAGGTGTCGATGCCCGACCCAGGATGCTGACGGACGACATCATCCAGAAAAACAAGACGGGCCTGGACTCAGTCGGGTCATGTTCTGTTTTAAAGCAGTTCGTGCACATTTTAAGGATTCTTAAATGTTTCCACAGTTGTTCCGTGTTTCAACACATCAGCAGGTGATCCAGAACCACAAGGAGCACCATGTCGTCTGAAGATGCTCAGAAATCTCTTGAACAGTCACTGCTGAACTTTTACTACAATTCTTTTCACTCTGCCTGCTCAGAGGGAGTCCAAAGGCTGCTCTGGATCGTTGGGTTCTGTTTAAAGCCGTGTGGCCGGTACCTGACTATGTTCAGGCTGACAGATGACACATGCTGCAAACTGAGCTACACAAACAAAATCGACTTGACTTGAATTGAATTTCCACATTGACAATGTTGACTGGACCTGTCCAGGGTGTCCCCTGTCTTCACCCTAAGTCAGCTGGGATAGGCTCCGCCCCCTGCGACCCTAGTGAGGATTAAGCGGTGTATAGATGATGGATGGATGGACACTGTTAACTGTGAGGACAGAGCACTTTGTCCCATGTCTGACCAGAACAAAAGCCAGCACAGGACGAGCAGGGAGACAGCGTTCGTCCACCACGTCCAGACTCTCAGGTGCAGCCAGCTTTGTGAACAAGGCTGATGATAAGAAGACTGATATATTCTTACATACAGAACAAATAAACCACACCTAGCTACAGCAGGTTGCAGCTCCCCTGAACAGATCTCTTTTTCAAGTAGAAAGTCTGCTGGCAGCAGCAGTGATGTAAGAGCGAAAGTGCCCACGGGAGGCGACCCAGACACTCACTTGTTCCTGATGGTGTCTCCGATGCTGTTCACATAGTCAGAGTTTGTCTGAAAGGCAGGCAGGAAAAGGAGAAGGTCAGTGATATGGGGGATTCCCAATACAGTGAGTTCAAACCAAAGCTAAGCTCCTGAATGCTTCTGCAACAATGAACAGTGAATTGACATGTCACAGGGCGAGGCAGCCTCATTGTGCTCGTTCCTCGAAGGCCAGACTTCACATAACCAGTTTTAATTCCTGCATTGGCATCGCTTTTAACTGATTGACGTGATGAAGAAAGAACAAAATGAGCTGCACAACTGGTCGAACAGCTTCTCTGTGTGTCTGATCAAAGCTGCTTCATTTAATCATCAGGTCATAATTTATGAGCTGCCGTTAAACGAGGGAGCTCTGGGAACGTTTATTGGCGCTCTCAGCAGTAAAACCTGCAGAAGTACAGCTTCTTATCTGAAGTGATGTCTTGATGGAGGTTTATGACCCTGAGAGGTGCACGAGCATGACTGGGCAGCACGAGGCCAGTGGCTGCTCTGTGCTGGAGGTGAGTTCAGGTTAGCAGGAGCTTCAGATTGGGCTCACGGGGAGCGTTCTCCTGTCTAATGCTTGTTTTTCTACTGAGTGATTCCTCTGAAATATTGAACTATTGAAACCGTGGACGCATGCTGCACTGACACTTCTGCAGACTGAAATCCACGCAGCCAAGCTGGCGTCGTTGGTTTGCCCTGAGGTGCTCTGTGAAAGGAGGAACCTGAAAAGAAAAGCAGACGTGTGTGAGCACGTGTTAACCTCAGCAACGAAGACGACGACGAGGAGATCTCTGCGCTGCGAGGACGTCAGACTGAAGAGCAAAGAGCTGAGAGTGTTGACCAGGTAGCTCTGCTTCTCACGCTTCACTGTGGGAATACCCACGACGATGGACACTGGAGCACACAAACAGAGCCGTAAACACAGATATCTCTGCTGCCATTATCTGGATGATAACAGCCTCTGGCCGTTACTCCTCCCCCACACTTTACAGTCACGCTGTATACGAGGCTTGATATCTGTCAGAGGAATCTCCACGTGACCAGATTCCCAGATCAGGCATCTGCACTTTAACATTATTAAATCAATTTGGTTTTCAGTCACACTCCTTCAGATTACAAAAACGCAGGTTATACAGAACAGAATCGGTGTTTTTCTGTTACCTCCGCGGCGTCCTCGTCCCAGCAGCACGTTCGGCACAAGGCTGTCTGGGTGCTGCCTCAGGTGGGGCATGTAGAGGTAGATGTTGGGCTGGAGGAATGGCTGCCAGCTGGAATTAGCTGCAGGCTCCTTTACTGCTTCTGTTCCAGGAGGGGAAAGAGAGGCCATGTAGAACACTAGAAATCATTAAACCTCTGATCACAGTAGCTGCAGGCACATTCAACACAGGATCAAGTGCTTCGACTTCAGGCCTCGACCTTTGCTGTCCTCTGGCTCGACGTTTTCTCTCTGTGCCCTAAAAGGCTTTACCAAATCCACAAACCGTCAACTTGAACTATAACGTCACCAGTTTCTGACAGGACCTCCTGTTTGGAGGCTGGATCACTGGATCACTGGGATTTGAACGTCAAGTGGCTGATTGTAGTCAGTTGATGTAACTACTTGAAGATTTCTTAAATGATTTGTCCTCTTTCAGCTACGTGTCATCACTCAGTGTTCTCTGGTAGAAGTTTAAATCACTGCATGTTTGGCTCTACATCTCTGAGCAGCAGGTCCTGTTGAAAACAAAGGGGAGCACAGTTCTACTGTTTTGGCTCCAACTCTGAGGAACAAACCAGTCAGTTCAAAAAGCTTTTAAAACCCACCTGAACAGAACCAGTTCTTCCTTCCCTGAAGCTCTGTAATCGCTCTTTGTAAGGTCTCATTGTCTCGACTGAGGTTTTGTTGTTTCTTGGTGTATTTCACCATTAGCCATCATCCCCTGTAACTCACCCTAACCCAGATTACAACGATCTGAAGACCTGAGCAGCACCACAGAACTGCATCTCTGACGTTAACTTAAACGTCCTTCAGACAGCATCAGAACAAAATGAAGAGCTTCCTCATTTGCTGATCTGGCTTCAAGATGATCGAGAACATAACCGGAACAAGCAGCGGATGCAATGCTACGTTTGTTCACAGAAAAAATGTTCTAGAAGTGAAGAATCAGTTCTGCCGGACCATCGGGGAGATTTTCAGAAACCTGAAAACTCACCCGACGCCCTTTTGCTCGTTCTGTTCCGTCTCAAAGAATCAGTGCCTTCATGATGTTTGTATTGTTACTGCTGTTGTATGACTTCATATCTTCTCTGTTTATAAAGTGTTTACATTCATTTTGTGTGCTTGTCCAGGTCGTTGTGAACAGAAACAGCTTCTACGCAGCGCTGCCATAAAGTCCCATCAGCTCGTATCAGTCAGTAAAGAAGCAGCACTGTGGCCCAACTGCAGAAATGTGCTTTACGGAGCTCGACTCAGCTCTCCAGCTGACTACACTGGCTCAGTTCTGGTTCCAGGAACCAGCGCAGGTCTGGTTCTGGATCACCCACCTGCAGACGTGCTGCCGTTGGCAGCTTTGGACATGTTCCTCAGCTGCTCCAAGACGCTGCTGAGATCTTTGCTGACCTTCCCTCCCAACTCCTCGGCCAAAACCAGGCGCTCGTGCAGCATCTGCAGGTCCGGCGGTGCCACTGGACCTGCAGACATCAGGACAACTGCTGAGAACAGTTCTTACTGTGTATTGGCTGGTTCTGTGACTGTTGGTCAGCTTTATCGTGGGTTTTCATCAGCGTCCTGCAGCTGCTACAATGAGGGGCAACAACTTCACCATGTCCCACCAAAGCCTGATTCTGCATCATTTGCTCACTCTCAGAAAAAGAAGATCTTTGGGGAACCTTCTGGGGTTCCTCACCACTGCCACTGTGGAGGAACCTTTGGAGTTCCAAATGGCTCCTTGGGGATCCGGTGGACGTCAACAATATTGTGGATGTTAACCAATAAAGGTTGCACTTTTATTGAATTAGAGACTTTGACATAAGTGTTGGGAGTAAGAAAAGATCCCAGTTTGCTCAGAAATACAGAACAAGTCTGTGAACATAACATCCCAACATCTCCAGTGTTGTCCATCTATCATTAAACCAAACAATATACGATTCACGCTGAAACATTGAAATGTGTTTATTACAATAAAACTACATTCTTAAGATGAAAGTGTGCCTTTGTGACGTGTCAGTGGGGCGACACATAACCTCCAGGAACCTCTCTGGAGTTTTGAGGTTCCATTTTGAACTTATTATTCTGATTATTATTCTGATTATTCTGATTATTATCGTGATGATGATGATGATGATGATGATTATTTGTCCCAAACATGAAGACATACGACAACACTGAAGGTTCTGTCAGAAGAAAGTCCGACTGGATCCCAGTTTGAGCAAATACACAGAACCAGCCTCAGAAACTGCATGAACGTCTTCAGGCCTGTCTGAAGGAGCTCTACAAGGCGGTGGCTGAACAACCACACTCCCAGATAATCCCAGTGTGTCTGTCAGTGTTGGTGATGGAACCCTGTCACAGCAGCAACACTGAGCTCCTGTTCCGTTTCCCAGACTCTGTCAGAACATCTGTAGGTTCTGTACATCTTGTAAATATTCAGACTTTTGAAGCGGTTAAATACTGACTAAAACAGAGTACCGTGATTCTGTCAGCCTCCTGATTCCTTTTCCATGAAGTGACTATACTGCAGATATGTTAAAGACCTGCAGCACATCCATTCACATAACGAGGTTCTTCCAGCCAGCTGATGAGCTACAGTGACTCCTACAGCTCTGCATCTTCTCTGAAGCACATCAGTCTTTGTCACAAATACAATCCTGTGTTTTGATTCTTTCATAGATTCATTAAAGGTCTTCTGGAAATATGACCAAACCTGCTGGTTCATAAATATTCACACAGAAACGTTAATATCTGGTTAGACGTCCATGTTCTCCTCAGTCGGGTTCTTCTGGTTCCGTCCACCAGCTTCTGGTCCATCTCTGACTCCTCTGGACAGAACCGCTGCAGTTCAACTAAACCTGTCGTCTTTCTGACTCAGACTTGTTCCTTCATCAGTCCACAGGTTCTGGATGGGTCCAGTCAGGACTTTGGGGAGACCAGTCTAGAACCTTCATTCCAGCCTGATGGAACCATTTCTTCACCACTCTGATGTGTGTTGGGGCTCATTACATTTGATCGAGTACAGGCAGAGCAGCCGGGGGGCAGTGATGGAGGACTGTGTTGGTTAGATAGATAGATAGATAAAATTGTCTTGTTGGAACATCCAACTGCGTCCAAGGGGTTCCTGACTGTTTAGGACCCTAATCGGACCTGCAGAACCAGCTGAGAGACAAACTATGACTGAGATGTGATCCAAGAGCTGCTCAAGCTCAAAGAGAAGCTGGAGAAGCAGCAGGAGCGAAGCCAGAAGTCTGTTCTGAGCTCCAGCAGGACCAAAGTCAGCTGATCCATTACCTGCCTTGACTGAACCAGGAAGTCCCGCTGACATTAGAAATGTGTTTTCCAACCAGGCAGCAGCTGTAGGAAGTCAACAGCTCTTCCCTCACCTCACAACCGAACCCTAACCTCCTCTAAATGTCAGAACCTCATTTAAAACACAAACAAGCAATGAACCATAAAACCATAAAACACGTGACAGCAGCCTCTCGGTGTCTCTGAAACTCATTCATGATGTGAATGTTCCAGTGAGGTTCTCCTGGAACCAGGTTCTTGGCGGACCCAGCAGAACCAGGGGTCCGTCTGCTGACATATTCTAGTGACAGAAATGTTTTTCTGACGCGTTCATCAGTCAGTCAGACACCAGAACCCGACCCTAACCAGGAGGTTTCTGTTACCGTGTTGAAACTAAATCAAACCGACAAAAGCTTCACGAACCTTCATCACCGGGGAACGAGCGGATCCAGCTGACCGACACGAAGCAGCCCAACGCCAGCAGACAGACGAACCTGAACGGAAAAAGCTTCATTTCATTTCCCACCAACAGTCCGACTGACGGCCGGTTCCGTGCGGACGACAGGTGCAGGTGAGCTGCAGGTGAGCTCAGAGCCGATTGGCTGCTGGCTGCTGTACGTCAGAGCCAAACAAAGATAAAGCATGGTGCCTGTTTGCGGGCCGGAGCTGGGCTCAGTCTGTACCGACAGTCGGTCGATCAGCGGATCACCTGGATTCTACCTGCAGCCTACAGCGACACCTACTGGAGGAGCCGGAGAACTCCGAACCTGTCCGAACGGATCCGAACAGTGTTCTCCACATTCTGCAGTTTCAGAGCTGATCTCAGAGCAGCCTCCTCCAGAACTGGACCGAGATGGACAGACATTAAAAACAGCACCGTTTACCGGAACCTGCCAAAATGTGACACACACGAGCAACCAGCGACACCTGTGTGGGCAGATAAATGGGACATGTGACACGTGGACAAAGTGTTTTCTCTCAGCTCGCCTGTTATAGCGTCACATTATACAAACCAGAACCTCTAACCGTCACCGGTTCGTGGGTCTGACAGAATAAACTTACTTATAGCGTGTCGTCCCTCCGCTCACCGTCAGGGGATGTAGCTCAGTGGTAGAGCGCATGCTTTGCATGTATGAGGCCCCGGGTTCAATCCCCGGCATCTCCACCTTTTACTGGGTTCAGTACCGGCATCTCCACCTTTCACTGGATTCAGCACCGGCATCTCCACCTTTTACTGGGTTCAGCACCGGCATCTCCACCCTTCACTGGGCTCAACCAGAACATTTCTTACACCTTAGATATGTGCTGGTGGTGGCCGGGCTGCAGCCCGAGTCTGTGTGTGTCTGTACTTATCGGTCCAGATCTTACACACACACATGTAGACATATCAATAGAAGCATGTAGCTATAAATCCTCTGTCCAGATAGCGTTATAATCATGTCCTACATCCAGACAGAGGTATAGATCGACGTGCATGTACTATATATATATAAATGTATATCGTGGCTACTTTGCTGATGATGTTTTTCTTTAAACATCCACCAATGCACGAGCTGCTGCTGCTGGTGAATGTGAGCTACTTCTTTTTTGGGTTATTCTGCTTTTTCAGTTATTTGATTGAACCAAATAACGTCTTAATCTTCGTGTCTAAAAAAAGAGTAAGCAGCAGAAGGATTTTTCCAAGTCAGTGCTTTATTGTGACTTTGTGCTCAGATGGGATTTGGTCATAAGGTCTTATGATCTCTGCTCCGACATCCACATTAGTAACGTCGCTTCAACACTGTTCTCTTTGTAAACCTGCTGTGGCTCAGGTCGGTCAGACCAGCAGCCTGTTAATGCTAACCTGTTAGCATCAGGCTAATGCGTCCGCAGATATTCCACCATCCTACCCTGCCAGTAGTTTGATAACTAACTGAGCTGCAGATGTGTTGACGCTGTGGACGGATCCAGGACTGAGACAGGGTCGTTCAGAGGCACCGTGCAGACCAACAGCAGCTTCATTCATATATTCTCCTCCATCGGCCGACTGACCTCTGACCTGCTGCATTCATGAGGAAGTGGCCTGTTGTCACGGTAACTGAAGAAATGTTTAATCTCCATGTACACAGCAAACTGTGATTGTATCTGTTACATGACCCAGCTACAGACCATAACTGCAATAATCAGAGCACATTTAAAGTCATAAAAACGCTGCTCGAGTCCTCGAACACCTTAAATGAAGAGTGACAATCAGCTGATTGGTCAGGAGCTGCATCTCCACGCCGTGGTGATCACGTTCACATCCAGACCTCGTTCAGTTCTTGTCATTTTGTCACGTGGACGTCGAAGCTGCAGAAAGACACATGGAGGCTCCAGAACATCCTGATCAGAGCCTCCATGTCATCAGTCTCCAGCGCTGACGGACCCAAAGCCTCTCCACTGAAGTCTGTTGGTGTGGTTTACATCGATACCAGCAGGGTGCTTGTACATCTATTAAATATGTGGACACACTGCTGGGACACACACGAGATTATCATTTCCAACACTTGTTAAAAAAGACAAAGTACAGTGAATTGTGCTGCGTGTACCACACCGCCGCCCACACAGCTGGAATAATTGTTGTTTTCAGATGCATTCCTCTTTTTAATTCTGTTTCTACACATCAGTGATCACTTAGACCAGGTCCAGTGATCACACACTGAGTCCCAGTTAGCAGGTGGACCCAGGTCTGACTTCAGGATGTGACTGAAGAGTGGGACGTCCTGCCCACTGACTCCATCAAGCAGCTGGTGGACAGAACGCCACCATGTCTGAACACTGATCCATGTCAGGGGCCAGACTCAGTACTAGTGACATTTAAAGAAGGATGTTGGACATTCTGATGCATGACATCAAGGTGGAAAAACTGAAACTAAACCCTTCATCCTGTTGTTCAGGACCTCCAGTTTAGTTTAAGCCTGAACACACAGTTCATTGTGGTTTAGTTACTGTCGTGTGTATTGTATGTCTATTGTGATATGAGTAAAGGTTTGATGATCTACACTTTACCTATCAAGAATAAATGGCATCGTCACAATCATTTCATGAGAAGAGGTAAAAACATTGTTCAAACTGTAAACTGTTGGACGGCTGATGTGACCAGAATGGTTTCTGTTCAGGCTTCTGTTGGTTTCCAGAAATCTCTGAGATTCTATCTTTATATTGTTCTTTTATTATTGCAACATATTTGATAGTGTGGTTACTTTAGATCTTTGTTGATGACCACCGCCAAGGAGGTTACGGTTTATCTGTCTGCTTGTTAGCTCGATAACTCAAAATGTAGCCAACGGGTTTTCATGAAATCTTCATGAAATGTTGATAATGGCTCAATGAACCGATAATAACATTTTGGTGATGTTTGTGTTGCGGATCAGATGATTTTACTGAATTATATTCACTGAATGTGTAATAAGACCAAGCTGGTGAGGAATGACCGATGTTTGAGCTGCAGAGAGCCTTCAGAGGTAAGAACAGTGAAACTTTAATGTTTTGCTTTTCTGTGCAAAAAGCTCTTTGTGTCAATGCTGTGGTTGCTGCAGGTCAAAAAAGTTTATATCATCTGAAACACGAGACTCTGAGCTTTCATCTGATGTGTAAATTGTCGGGAAACTAGATTGAGGAGCAACGCACGTGGACTGAACGTCCCAGCGGCGGGACGGAGGAATGCAAGATTAAAATGTGATTGATGTCCAGGAAGTTCATTTATTGTTTGTAATGCAATGGTAATGCTATGCGAATGCTATGCTAACGCTATGTGTCCACTGGATCCGGCAAAATCAATGCCCCGTGTCCTGTTCTGGAGCGTCACGGAGTGTTTCCCGTGACGAGGCGTAGCGTCGCCCGTAAGCTCATTTGAGCTGCTGTTGAACTAAAATGAGGACAGACCCTGCAGCTGCATAGCCTCTTTCTCAAATGTTTTTATACTTTTCGCTGAACGGTTTTTGTAATTAAAACAAATGTTTGCTGCCGAGCCGCCATGTTGGTTTGCCACTTCTACAGGACTGGCATCTATTGGGTGAATAGGAGAGTGGCTGTCATGTGACCCCCAAGTGGCCCGGTAGTGCACGCCAAGCAAGAGGACGATATTCAGAAGCAATGCGATCTCGCGCAGGGAAAATCACCCCAGTGGACAGGTAGATAAGCTGAGCTACGAGTCCACTGGGGCAACATGTAGCAAAGCTAAGCTAAGCTAAGCTACGAGTCTACTGGGGCAACATGTAGCAAAGCTAAGCTAAGCTAAGCTAAGCTAAGCTACGAGTCCACTGGGCTGTAAAATCACATTGTCAAACAGAAACAATAGAATGAAATACTAAAACAGCTCAGTGGTTAGCACCGTGGCCTCACAGCTAGAAGGTCGCCGGTTGGCGTCCCGGTGAGGACACCCGGGATCTTCCTGCGTGGAGTCTCCATGTTCTCCCCGTGCAGCGTGGGTTCTCTCCGGGTTCTCCGGCTTCCTCCCACAGTCCAGAAACATGCTGAGGTTAATTGGTGATTGTAAATTGTCCGTAGGTGTGAATGTGAGTGTGCTTGGTTGTCTGTCTCTAAGTGTAGCCCTGTGATAGACTGGTTACCTGTCCAGGTGAACCTGCCTTCACCCTCAGTCAGCTGGGATAGGCTCCGCCCCCCAGTGAGGGTTAAGGAGGAGAGATGATGGATGGCTGAATACTATTAAGAGCAGCCAATGAAAACACGTACGTCTTGAGGTTTTTATTGTAGCACTGTGCTATCAATACCTATTTGCAAATGTGCAGCATGTTCCTGTTGCAGATCAGAAACAAAGATCAGAACAGAGTGTTTGGACCTGCCAGAACGTCCACTGAAGAGAAACAGCTGGAGGTCCGTCGGCAGACGGTCCTGCTGCAGAAACACATCAGAGGAATCAGGTTTCCTAAATGTGTTTCTACCTTCAGCAGACAAAGAGCAGATTAGATAGAACATAATGATCCCAGTGGGACGCTGCAGGAGACGATCGGAGGACAACCCACAAAGATCGAAATGATATTAGTATTGATGTGGATCCGCCTCCAGAACCATGAACAACACCAACTAGTTGAACATACACACAGGATCCAGAGAAGGTATGTAAGAGCCACTGTTCCACTTCAGGTAGACTTCAGGCCTACTCTGGGATGAATGTCTTCATAGACGGACGGCAGCAGAAGGAGGTCAGCTGGCTTAGACACGAAGAAGAAACCAAGAAAAAGGGAAACAACAAATCTGTTCGTCTTCATTTTACTTTTGTTTAATCCTCACGTTAAGAGGATTGTGTGTAAAATGTTAATGCTGTCATGACAGAAGACACACATGAACATGCAGATGTTCTCACACACACACACACACACACACACACACACACACACACACACACACACACACTCTCTCTCTCTCTCTCTCTCTCTCTCTCTCTAAACCATCTTTGTTCGTTAATCCTTTGTGGGTCGGATGCAGGATTCCTGCTGCACCAGAACTGATTGTTTTAATTTTAGACCTTTAAAAGCTTCTACTTTTGTTTTCTACACTGAATATGTAATGTATATAAGTGGACGGATGGACAAAGACAGAAGTCTGTCCCTGTGAGAGCAGGAGGACGTTTGTCCTGGCGGCGTGACGGTGGGCGGAGTGGAGGCTGGGCGGCTTTCAGGGAGAGAAAGGACCATCTGTCCACAGACAGCGACGGGTCTGGAGGAGGTCGGACACACAGCGGAGGACGGTAAGCAGCAAACACTTCAGCTGGTCTGACGCTGGTTGCAGCGTTCCACGCTTCAGCAGCTTGCTGTGGTTTGTCTTGTTATTTGTGTATTTTATTGTTCAGAAGAGGACAGAAGAAAGTGATGAATCGTGGTAAAGAGGAACCTGAAACTTTCTAGGCTGAGATGGACTAAAACAGTCCGGCAGGTGAGTGATGGGAAGACTGGTGCCTGTGCCTTCAGGTAAATCCAACATCGCTGGTGAACTGACAGTTTATTTAAATATGGCAGATATGTGACCGTTCCACAGGCTGAATGAAGACATCTGAACTTTATTTCACACATTACAGCAACGAGATACACAGAAAGAAACAAGGATAGAAGTCAGCTGTAATCAAGACCTGCTCACATTCTGACCGCTGCCACTGACCCAGAACTGGTACCGCATGGTTATGGTTATGGTTATGGTTAGGGCTAATCCTAACCCTAACCATAGCCATAGCCATAGCCCTCTCAGTCGGTCCACGTGGTCGCAGCAGGATGTTCTGACAGCGTTCTGCGCTGTCGTGACAGAAGTTACCGTAGTAACCGTCAGCAAAAACAGCTTTTAATCCGTTTAAGTGTGATAGAACGACTGAAAAACAAATGCAGTGATGTGATGTAGAATCCTCAGTGACACAATGAAAAACATTTGTGTGATTTTGTATTTCAGAGCCGCGTCGATTAATCGGACTGAACACATTCATTCTGTGGTTTTTTGTTTAATGACCCAAACGAAACACTCGAGCCTCAGGTTCTACTGAACCACAAACCCAGCTCAGATGTCAGTGAGCCTGCCAGTGGTTTCAGTGCCTCCTGTTGTCTTTCAGTTTGTCTGCAGTCATCACAGCAAAGCTTGTGTCTTGTACACTTTGTGTGTCTGCTGTAGACAATCTGCTCCTTTTTGTCATTTCCTTCTTTTCCTGCTGCCCTGATCTCATTACTTTACCCCCGCGCTCCGACTGAACCGTGAACCTTGATTAAATGAAGCATCTTCTGACTGACAGCGGCCCTCCCTGACATCCACCAGCACAGCAGCACTTTATGCTAATACTTCAATCTTCTGATTGCTTCTGGTAGATCACGTCTCCGGTGGGAATACCACGTTGGTGTTTCCCGTCAACTTCCTCCCCCGGCCCGCTTTAACTATTGTGACTTTGGATGTCAGAGTTCTTCCTGGTTTTGCAGTAATGAGTTGATGTCCTGTCACCTGACCAGGAAAGACTTGAGCACAGAAAGCCGAAGCAGGTTAAAGGCATTTAATAGCTTCATTTATTAGCGTGACTGAAGAATCCGGAAAGAAGAACCGACTGAGAAACACGTTTAGCGCTTCTTTGGGTCAGTCAGAGGGTCAGTGGACCAAAAGGCCAGGAAGAGGTGATGGGTCCCAGCAGATCTGATTGGTGTGCTTTCCCAGACTGATCTGGTTTCATGGTCCCAAGAGTGTGAATCAGAATGTGTTTGGTCAAAAACCTTCAGACTAGTTTAACAAGAGAGAACCGATCCTGGGAAGATAAAATGAGACTAACGCAGCGGTTTGTCTCACGTCTGTGGTCCGTCCGCTGTGTGCTGGATCCAAACGTTCGACCGTCGGCCTTCTATGTAGTCATGGTCCCCAGAGACTGATCCCAAGTCGATTTTAGTGATTCAAATGATGTTCTGCAGGCGTCACTTGTTTCTTTATTTTTGGGGCGGCTGTGGTTCAGGTGGTTGAGCGGTTGTCCTCTGATCGAAAGCTTGGTGGTTTGATCCCCTCCTTGGCCAAGACCCTGAACCTGAAGCTGCCCCCGATGGCAGGCAGCACCCTGCATGGAGCTCTGTGGCCGTTGGAGTGAATGAGAAACACTGTGAAGCACTTTGAGTACCGCAAGGTAGACAAGCGCTACAGAAGTGCAGAACATTCACCGTTTACCGCCGTTCAAACCTGGATTTACTGTAACTGTGTACATTTCATCATATGGGTAAAATATGACGGTTTGCCTCATGACAAAGGAGGAACAAAGCTAAAAGTATTATAATTAACTGCACATCAGACAGAAGAATTTACTATTATTGGATGTTTTTTCTTTTTTAAAGCTCACTGACAACAAAAATTAGGCTGTAGCTTAAAGATAAAGATAACTGTATTGATCCCACAGTGGGGAAAGTTCACCGTCACAACAGTGTTCAGTCAGTACAGTTCAGAATAAGTGGAACACCCGGCGCAGAAAGTAGGAAAGAAACAGAAACAGAAACAGAAACAGAAACAGAAACAGTGCAAAAACTGCAAGAGAAAAAAACATTATATACAGAAGATGTGTTTGTTTTTTTTAAAGAAGACTATAGACACAAGGATGAGGTGGTCCTGGTTATTGCATAGTGGAATGCTTTTGGCATTACATTATTACATTCATATTACTACGATGTGTGGAATATATACGACGGGGTGACGGAGAAACCGTAGGGAGGAGGTGGAGGTGGAGGAATGGGCTTTCAACATGGACCACAGGTGTTCACAACACGTCGTCTCACAGCCTGAACACAGGCAGGTACAGACGCTACCAGTCTGAACAGAACCCGACAACCCAAAGCTGCCTCTGGACTCCCTCTGAGGGTTCGGGTCAGCTCAGTAACAAGTCAGGAAACGCTCCAACAGGTCCAGTCGAACACAAACAACCAATTAGGGTTCAAGGACTTTTGGCTGCATGAATTCTTGTAGCTTCGATGATGCCTTGTCATGTAGCGCCACCATCAGGTGAACCCTAACCCTTAGAACTGTCCATTACTTTGGTTTATGACCAAATCCTTTCCATCCTTCGTTAGTTCAGGACACATTAAAACAAGAACAACTTCCCTCATAACGATGACTAAATGGAAATAGTTCAGTGTTTGATGAGAGCAGCAAAGATGAATTAAAACGGCATTTAAACAAAGTTCATTTGAGGCCCACTTACGAGCATCTCAGTACCTTCATGGGTCCATATATTGGTGGTCATGTTCTCATTGACTGTAGATCAGTTTGCCCTGTCACTAACCCCAGCCGTTACTCAGCTTGTTGGTGACTGTAAACTGCTTCGTTTCAGGGAGAGAAGGTCTGCTCGGCTTTACGTGATTCCTGTGAAGTGAATAACTGGCACTAAAGCATGTAGCCAGGATGAAGATGTGGATTGTGTTACTCTGCCTGAGCAGCGGACGGACTGGAGCAGCTTCTGGTGTGACCCCAGCGTCCTCCATTACACCAGTCACACCCACTGAAGACCAAGGCTCCCGCCTGGTGGTGAGACTTCTGTCATGAATATTCATGAGGGGAAATGATTCAGACTGTCTGGACAGAGCTTGAATAGAACATCACTTGTACCCAGGACTTTGAGTTGGCCTCTTCCCTGATTGGGACTGAAGGGCAGCCTGTTCAGTGGTTCTGTCTCCTTCCCACAGGACTGGCTGATGAGGTATGGTTACCTGCCACCTTCAGACCCCTCCACCGGGCAGCTGCAGGCCTGGACCGCCGTCACTGACGCTGTCAGGGCCATGCAGAGGTTTGCAGGCCTCAGAGACACCGGAGTTGTAGGTGAGGACTGCAGATGGTGCCTCGCTCGTTAAACCTGACGTTCTGTTCGTGACTCCTGCTTCTTCTGTGCTTTGATGTTTAGATGAGGAGACGATGGCATTGATGACAAGTCCTCGCTGCTCCCTGCCTGACCAGGAAGAAGCCTCCAAAGCCGAGGGGAGAAAGCTGAGGAAGAGAAGGGCTGTCTCCATGTGGACCCGAAGGAACATCAACTGGAGGTTGGCTGAGGTTCAGTCTGGACCGAGTAGCTGCACAAGATGTTTGCTTCTGTCTGACTGTGTTTCATCCTCAGGTTGCGTTCATATCCTTCCTCTTCTCACATTTCCCGGGAGACCGTTCGCTCCCTCGTCTTCTACGCTTTGAGAGTTTGGGCCGAGCCGACACCGCTGGACTTCCACGAGGTTCTTTCATTTGTCTGCATTACTGACAGCCCAGCTGGTCTCAAGTCAGCTTTCACGAATATTTCTGCCTGAGCTTCAATAGCATCACATCTGGACGTTGGTAAAGGTAGCTGCTAGATTCATATGTTCCAGATGTTCTGATGCTTCTTCAGCTGCCCTTCAGCTCACTTTGATACAAACCTGAAGCTTCATGTCACTGGTTTGATTCAGAACCTGTAAGGCTGGATCAAAGATTCTGTGATTAGAAGAAGTGAAGCCGTCACAGAGACAAAGTGAGCACATGACCGTAGAATGTAGGAGTGTGTGTGAGAGTGTGTGTAGGTGTGTGTGTGTGAGTGTGTGAGTGTGTGTGTGTAGGTGTGTGTGTGTGTGTGTAGGTGTGTGTGTGTGTGTGTGTGTGTTTGGATTTTTGTGTGTTTGTCTTCAGTCGTCTCAGATGTTCTTCAAACAGCCTCAGATTTCAATGTGAGAAAAAAACCTGCTGAAAGGTGGTTGAAGGGAATGAAACGTATGTAAAACATATATACAACATATAGAAAACATGTATAAGACATATAAAACACATCTTTTACCACGTATTTGATACGTCAGTCTAAAATTTCAGAGCTAACATTTAAACTATGGATATGTAAAGAAGGCTTCCAGACAGAGGGGCGGAGGCTTTGAGATGGTATAACCTGAGTAGGAACGGGCCTGTGATGGATGTTACCTGTCCAGGTGTGCCCTGCCCTCACCCTCGGTCAGCTGGGATAGACTCCAGACTCACTGCCTGTTGCTGTAGCATCATCTTGGCTGCCGTCTGTCTCCAGGTGGGCAGTCCGGAGGCAGCGGACCTGCAGGTAGACTTTCTCCATGGTTACCACGGTGACGGCTATCCCTTTGATGGGGCGGGCGGTGCGGTCGGACACGCTTTCTTCCCCTCAGACCCGGCTCGGGCTGGAGGCGTTCATCTGGATGCAGAGGAGGAGTGGACCTTCAGACAGCCAGGTGAGAGACCTTCTCATACCATCTGTGTGGCGTTGCTGCACACCTTGAGATCCTTCTGACGTTTTGGGAACGGAGCCGAGTGGAAACACGTCTTCCTGAGCAGCTGTGACTGAGGAGCTGCTTCCAGCGCTGTAGGTCCGTTGCTGAGCGCCTGCTCAGAGGGAGTCCAGAGGCTGCTCTGGCTCGTTGGGTTCTCCGTTTAAACTCTCAGGTCGTCACTGTGGGAAGCGTTTGCGCTGTGAGATGACGCACGTCGCAAGTTGCGCTGTACAAACAAAAGTGAATTAAATTAAGTTTCTCTGTCCTGTTCTGTCCCAAAAGTCCAATTTCCATTCGATGCTCTTTTTCAGTCTGTTTCTGAACCATCTTGTGATGTTTAATGAACGAGGCGTCTTTTATGACTGAACATGAGAACCGCAGCTTCACCATGGTTCTCTCTTTCTCCTCGTGACTTCCAGCCTCTGAGGGGACCGACCTGTTCACGGTTCTGGTCCACGAGTTCGGCCACGCTCTGGGCCTCGCTCACTCCTCATCCCGCCACTCCGTGATGAGGCCGTACTACCAGGGTCCTGCTGGAGACCCCCTCCAGTACCGCCTGGGAGCCCCGGACCTGGAGCAGATCACCCAGCTCTACGGTAAGAAGGTCGGACCTTCGTAAGGATTTACTCACTAACTCTGATCAAAGTGCAGCGTTGCAGCACTGCAGTGATGGATGAATGAGGACAGCTGCAGATCAGCTGCCTGACCCGACCTCTGCTGGTACTGAGGCCGGACAGAGAACCCGTTTTATCCTCCACATTCAGAAGCTCATGTCAAAGCCATGTATTGTAAAGACTCAAGGATCAAAAGAAGGATGTTCTCTGAAATGTGTGACTGCAGCGTTGTTCACAGAGAATCACTTCCTCATTCAGCTCTCTTTGCATAATGTCATGGAAGGACTGACAGACAGCTGTTCATGAGGATGCATCCTCCCAATGTTTCAGTAGATGTAGGAATTTACTGACGTGTCAGTCAACTGATCCCTGAAGACAGTTCAGGATGTTTGGAGAAGTCACACTAATTATTTTATTGAACTAGAGTGAGATGAAGCTGCCAGATGGACATTACAGGTGAAGTGATGAGGGACCATCCGCTGTACATTTCTAGAGGTCTGATGATCCATGAGCGCGTTTAGCTTTGTTGTGTCTAATTACAGTGTGCAGCTGCTTTACTGTCTGAACTGACCTGACGTGTGATTTAGGTAAAAGGAACCAGCTGCTGGCGACTGATGCTCCTCGACTCGCCCCTGATCCTCGCCACAGAACCCACCATCAGCACCGACATGGGTACGAATTACAGAAGGAGGACTGACGGATTTCAGAATGAGTATTTTAATGAAACTCAACAAAACCTATTGTAAATACGATTTCACTCAACCAGTTTTAGTGTCACGGTTTGACAGGCAAAGGTGCAGACAGATGACTCGACCACCAAACAGTTGAAAGCAATAAGAATATTTATTCAAAAATACAAACACTAATTGAGAAACCAAGCAACAAGCAAATGGGTAATATGAACTACCACTAACGAATACTTACCACAGGATATTTATCAAAACGCCCTCTAGAGGACGACGAACGAAATTTACAGAATTGCAAACAAACTTACTGCGATGAATACAAACCAAATACTAACACTCCCAACTGAGTAGACGAGAGATTGAAAAACTACAATACTGATGGTAGGGAGGGGAGCCGGAGGAGACGGAGGTGGACCAGAAGACTTCAGCGGAGGGACACGGAGGATATGGAGAGCTGGATCCAGAAGAATCCAGGCAGTGAGGAGGAGGGAATGAACGGTGGCTCTCTGAAGGCAGCGAGCGTGGTGAACCTGGAGCACAGGAAAGCAGAGTTAGGAGCAGAATCAAAACAACGAGCAGAGTATATGAACGAGCATAAACTAACTCGGGGTTTACTGCGATCCGGCGTCGACTTGTGGCAGCTGGCATCTTATATGGTGAATGCAGGTCTGAAGAGTGGAAGGCAAGCCACGCCTCACCGCAGCTGGACCAATCAGCTGATTGCCACCTCGGAGCACCTGGTCCCCCTTCACTCCAGCATGACATAACACAAACAAAACCAAAAATGCTCCACTAGGTGGAGCCAAAGGCGGCGGTCATGTCATTTAGTCTAAAAGAAGTGCTACTGGAAAGAATCCACGAGTGGCTGGTTAATTTAATGAAGAATGCAGCTTCACAAAGAGCTATCGAGCTTCTCTGGCTGGATGTCCAACTTTAGACTTACACTAAACTGTTGTGCTGACACAGATCAGGCAGAGACAGGTCAGGGTTAAAGGTTTTATGAAACAAAGACATGAAACTGAAAAACAGAACAAAAATGGAAACTAAGAGGAAAACAGAACAGGGTAAACTAATAATTATAAAAATGGACAAAACTACAAAACCTAGAAAAATTCCAAACTAACAGCAGAAGGGAGGCTACTGAGAATAAACTGAGCTAGACCAACAAAACAGGGTGTTGTGGTGGACGTGGAAGGAAGGGTTAGGGTAAACCCCAATAAATGTTCCACAACAAAGAAAAATGAACAACAGCAACCCCAACAACATGCAACAACATTTTTTCTGTGGGAAAAAAGGTTTGGAAAAAGCATTCAAAGAAAATCCAAAAAAAGAAAAAACTCATTTTTTCTGGAGAATGACTGCAGAAGGTCCTCTGGATGGACAAGTCCAAGTTTGAGCTCTTCAGTCAGCATCGTCGTGTTTCTGTCCTCAGAAAAGCTGGAGAACGTTTTGATGCCAGATGCACCCACAGTGGAACATGCTGGAGGTTCTATCATAGTATGGGCTCCATGAGTGGAAACAGCAAGTTAGTGAAAACCAACAGTGTCATGAACCAGAACGTCTACCACAGCACCTTAGTGCATCATGGACCAGAACGTCTATCACAACACCTTAGTGCA